TTAGTAAAAATTTAGCGAAACTAAAGGTTTTACCATTTTGCCAAATCTAAAATGAGTTTAGACAAGCAACCTTAGTCCTAATGATGAAACCAAATAGACATATTACTTTATTACTGGATTTGTAGGAATTGGTAAATCATACCTATTAAAATTAATCACCAACGTTCTTGACCAAAGAAGATCAAATTATCTCTTGCTAGCACCTACTGGAATTGCTGCATAAAATGTTGGAGGAACAATCATACATTCTACTTTATAGATCATAACTTCACATGAAGGATTTCGTACCCGAGCTTATGCAAACCAGGAGCTTAATGAACGTCTAAGGCTTATTGATACAATAATAATTGAAGAGATATCGATGGTATCTGCAAAACTATTTGACTTATATCTGACATTTTTGCGAATCTTAATAGTAATGCTACACCCTTTAGAGGTATAAACGTGATTATTGTTGGTGATCTTGCATAATTGCCTTCAGTCACTGGCGAACCAGTATTTTATGCAACTTGTTGGAGATTATTTCATTCTTTATTTTTAACAAACCCGCAATGACAACAATCAGATAATCCTTTTTATAGAATGTTAGAAGAAATCCAAATGGGTAATATAACTTCTCAAATATGGCAAATCCTACAAAAACGACATTTTGAATTCTTATTATGACCTGCTATTAATACTTTGCTGAATACAACTAATATTGTCAGATATAGAGAAACTGCCTAACAAATCAATAGAATAATCTGCAATATATTGCCTATGTCTGATGGAAAATTTTTGATCTTACAGTCAGTAAATATAATAGATTCTACTAAATGTGATCCATCATATTCTGAATCTATGTTTAAAACAAAAACAAACTTTCCAACTTCTGTTCGACTTCAACCAGATGCATATATCATGTTTCTGGACAACTCCTTGATGCAACAAGGAATTTTCAATGGTACTCATATAGGCGGATTTGACTCAACAGCTTCACCTCCGTAACAAATAATATGCAATCACACCCCATTAGTAATATATCACATTAAAAGAAAATTTGATTGGTAGTTTGTATTACTTAAATTAGAAATTACATTTTGTTAAAATTTAAAAAACGCAATATGCGCGTTCCAAAATATTTTTATTTTATATGTCATTTATATGTTTTCTTTGTTCTACTAATACTTTTAAAACTTTTTCATCTAAAAACTCACTTTCTATTCATGAAAGATCTGTTCACCCAAATAATAAAATAATACCTCATTCACGCTACCTAACTTCTCTATCTTCATATAATATTCGCCACTTTAAACATTCTTTCGTAATACAATTAAAAGCACGCTTACAATTTCACAGAAGTGAACCTCAAGTAAAAACTTTAAAGATGGAGCCCTTTTCTGAAGGACTTTTTATTATTTTATTCTATAATTTACCAACTTTTCAATATTCTCCTATAAAAAGAATGTATACTTGTAAGTTCAAAGGTGGTCAAGGATATGAACAATTAGGGAATTTTTTTGATAATAAAAACTGGGGTAGCAAAATGCGAAGGACAGGAACATGTGCATATGTTTTAATGCAGAGTGCGCAACAAACCTATAATGTTACTTTTTGTTGGAAAGAACGTGTATAGAATTACGTTATGGTTCTATGCGTTTTGAATTTAATATTGATGTAAGAGATTTTGTAGAAGGTAATTGAAATATTTTTGTATAATAATTAGAAATGTAAATAAGAGGAGATATTTTCAAGCAAAGAAAATTAGTGATA